CTCTTGATCCAAGTACAGGTTTCACATTAGCACAATTAAATGTTCTGGGATTCCCATTCTTCTCAGAGTCAGCCACAGTTTGTTATGATCCACACAATCAAATGCCTTTTGTTGCTGTTTATTGCCATCAAGTTGAGCATGACTCGTAGTGCCCCATAAACAAAAGGCCTGAAGCCTTTCTGTAATTACTGTCATTTATCAAAGTTCATAGACTCTCCAGAGACTTCTTGTTGAGGGAGTGGATGCCACTCCTGTTTTTCTTGATTGAAGTGTATTTTTAAATACTTGAATTACTTTTTACCTCAATGTTACTTACTTAGATATTATTTGTATGTTTTTATTAATTTTCTATGAATTTATGCAAGTAAAATGTATTAAGGAAGCAGAGGCTTGGTTATGATGGTTTGCCTGCTGTTATTAGGTTGTTTAAAATATTCCCAATTGTTTCCAGTTAGATGAGTATGCATCTGTTGAAAGGTGCTATCTTTTGCTTGTGTACACAGCAATGAATTGTTGTTGATACTTTTCATGTCAATTTTTAATCCATAGCAAACTCATAGTCACTAACAATGGAGAAGGATGTTTCTGTACTTAGAAAGCCAATGAGTCATTTCTACTTCGCCCTTTAGGGTTACTGAGTCTGAGTCTACTGGGTCACAGGTGACTTAGAGCATTAGGCGTTCTGATAGCTTCTTATTGTTGTGGTTGTTGTTATGTACCATCAAGTCACCTGTGATTCATAGTGACCCTATGTACAACAGCTCTGAAGCATGCCTGTCCTGAGCCGGAGTTACTGACTCCAACACACTTACCCCATTGTGCTAGTCACCGTATGAATCCATCTCATCCGGGATTGTCCTCTACTGCTCTGTCCCTCCAACACTCCAAGCATGATGTCCTTCTGCAAGGATCGGTCTCTCCTGGTAACATGCCCAAAGTATGTGAGATAGAGCTTCAAAATCCTAGCCTCAAGGAGAAAATTGATTTCACCCTCTGTAAGACAGACCTTTTTTTCCCCTGACAGTCCATAGTGTGTTTAAGACTCTTCTCTAGCACAACAGCTCAAAGGCATTAGTTCTTCTCCTGTCATCCTAGTCATTTTGCCCAGCTCTCTGATGCATAGCAAGCAATTGCTGTGAAGACTATGGCCTGGATCAGATGCACCTTATTCAATTGACTGACATTCAATGTTTCTCAGTTCTCTGGAAATGTCCCTGATGGCAGATTTACCTAATGCAATTTGTCTTTTGATTTTCTGACTGGTAGTGTCAAGAGTGTTGACTGTGGAGTCAAGCAAGCTATAAGTAACTGTTAACAACTCCAGGCTCTTCTCCATCTATCATGGTGCTGCCAATTGTCCCAGTGGTGAGAATCTATGTCTTCTTGATGTTGAGCTTCAATCGATATAGAAGACTACAGTCCTTAACATTCTGCAGCAAGCATTTCATTCAGGTTCTCTTCAGTTTTAGTAAGCAAGATTGTGCCATCAGCATAACGTAGGTTGTTGGCAAATTTTTCTTCTGTCCTGATGTCACATTCCTCCTCATAAAGCCCAGCCTCCTGAATGATATGTGCTGCCAATGCAAAAGTATCCAGTTTG